GTGAGATACATTTGCATTTGAGTGTCTACTGTGCCACTGAACAGTAATATGGATTGCAAAATGCAGTAAGCTTATACTTTCAGTATCCTTGCCTGCAAAATGGGCCTTGTACACATTAGGCAAAATAGCACATATAGAATATTTGGCATTATGGTTGTCTCACATGAAGCACTCACACCAGATATGGTTATGACTAGTTAGCACACAAACAAGTACATATAGACACCTAAACAGACAACATTGTCAGATCCATGGTGAAGGGTGTTGAGCTAAGATCAGTTAAGAAATCTTTGCATGGATCTTACTTCAAATCCACTTTCAAATCTTCAGTTAACCAACCTTACTCCACCACTTCTAAGATGCTTACCAGTGCAGTTGTCAGAAACAACCAACTACTCTGAGATCCTGTCATTTGAAGTACCTGATTTTCCCAGTAAAGATGAAAGTACTGTTAAATTCGACTGAATAACACATAATAACTCTACATATGATACAGTGTCATATTTTCATTCACGGATTAAGAACATCGTTCAGTCCAAGTCTTTATCCCTTTTCATTTTAACCTGAAAATCTGTCTTCCCTAACCACTTGTCTGAGGATATGAACATGCCCTTCCTTTATTCATTCCTTTATGCCACCTCTGGGACTCAACTAACCACTCTTCTGCCTATTTATCCACTTTACCAACGAAATCGTTATCTACTTCCTAATCTCCATACTTCCTGTTGGCCACAACCTTCTTCCTTCAATCTCATTATCTCACCTTTTCTCCTCTTGAATATGGTGGCCATCTCCTGAAGCTCAACCTATCCCAAATATAATTTACCATTCTTTGACTGCCTAATCCAGATCAGAGGTACAGTTTGGCTCTTCTGATTGGATGCTTCTCCTAGCGAATCATGGTGTGATGCCTTTTAACTCTGGGCCCATTTATCTGCTTCTCTCAGGTACTTGGAACACTAAGTAAAGCTGCTTCCTTCTGATCACCGGAGTCTCACCGACAATCCCTCTTGTGCTGACATGTCTCCCCTAGACACCTTATTATAAAACATTCTTTCTTCAAGTCACTCTCTAGCTAAACTTCCCTTTCATTTTCTTCATAGCATTGTATCTTCTTTAAATTATTATGTATTTTTCTGTCTTAATTACTGCTTAACCCAGCTCTTTGTCAGCTCTGCAGCCTACACACAGGGTAACTCTAAGGGAGAAATCTACAATCTGAGCCACAGTTTCCCAATTAGGTTACCTGCTACCTTTGTTTCCATCAAGTTCATCTTACAGCCTATCTGCTTCATAATAATTCCAAATCACAGTTTTCATTTTCATTTTCAATCTTGCCAAACTGTTTAATAACTATCCATTGGTTACCAAACTCTACCTAGGCATTGAGTATCCACCTCTAATTCTAGCCGCACCTTTTTAAAGTTAAAATCTTTTCCAAGGTATTTGTTTTAAAATAATTATATATATATATTGTATTTCTATTTATATACTTTATGTAAATGTCACATTGAATATATTTAAATATTATATATCATATTTATATATTATAGATATGATGGCAAAGAAATATACAGGAAGTCCCTTGTGCCATTTCCTTAGCACCCTAATGTCAACATTCTATACAACTCTCATAAAACCAGGAATTTGATCAAACTCTTAGACCTTATCCAGATTTCATCAGTTACACACTCAGTACATGCATGCACGTGGGCTCACATGTATGGCTCCACTCAACTACATCCAATGTATGGCCTTGAATAGCCACCTCTATAATCAAGATGCTCAACTATAACAATCACCCTAAAACTGCCTATTACCATTTTGTAACTTTACTCATCCACCGCCCTACCCTTGGCAATTATGTTTCATATATGCACTGCTTTCTTTGTATTGGTGAGTAGTATTCAATAGTATAGAGTCACCACAGTTTGTTTAACCATTCATCCCAAGGATATATGGGAAGTTTCCAGCTTGAGATTATTACCAATAAAGCTTCCATAAGCATATGTATAAAAAGTTACTGCATGGAAATAATCCTTAATCTTTCTGAAGTAAACTCCCAGGAATGCAACTGCTGGCACCATTCCTTGATATCTTTATTTTTCTAAAATGTCACTCAATGTTCCCCATATTTTAGCCAAACAGGATTAATTGTACTATTTCTACATCCTCTCACTTATAATCCTTTTATCATTTACATATTTCCCATTAATGTCTGCCTTTTGAAAGCAGATGAAGAAACTTTTTTTTTTACTTATTCAGTAGGCAGAGTTACAGAGAAAAGGAAGGAGAGAAGGAGATCTTCCATTCTACTGATTCACTCTTCAAATGGCTGCCACAGTCAGAGCTGGGCTAGTCCAAACCTAGGACCCAGGAGTTTCTTCTTAGTCTCCCAGGTGGGTCCAGGGGGTCCAAACACTTGGGCCATCTTCTGCTGCTTTCCCAGGCCATGAACTGAATTGGAAGTGGAGGAACCAGGACTTGAACTGGCATCCACATGGAATGCTGGCACTGCAGGTGGACACTTAGCCTACCATATCACAGCACTGATTCCAAACTCAAAATGTTAAATTTATACAGTGATATGTGTATGAATACAATGAATAGAAAGATACATTTCATTAATTTTATCCCAATAAAAAAATGTCACTCTTTCCTACTAATCTATGTCTTATTTTGCCAAATTTCTCCTATAAAATCTATGTTCTTTCACAATCTCAAGGATGTATACTTGTCCTTTACCTCAACTAAAACAGTAAACTCCCTAGAGAAAAGTAAAATCCATGCTAATTTTAAATATCCACTCAAGCACTCCCTCGATCATTGTGATCCTGCCTGACTTCCCACACTTTAATTGTGTTCTTTTTAGGAGTTCTTTATATATTTCTGGTTAGTCTCTTTTTATACATGTTACTATTTTCTTCTAATCCCCCATTTACTTCTTTGCTTTGTTTATATTATCCCATAAAGTAACTTTTGATGCCAATTTTCTCTTGCTTAAAATGACTTTCCCGAGGGCCCAGCGGCGTGGCGCAGTGGTTAAGATCCTCGCTTTGCATGCCCGGGATCCCATATGGGCGCCGGTTCTAATCCCGGCAGCCCCGCTTCCCTTCCAGCTCCCTGCCTGTGGCCCGGGAAAGCAGTTTAGGATGGCCCAAAGCTTTGGGACCTTGCAACCGCGTGGTAGACCCGGAAGAGGCTCCTGGCTTCGGATTGGCATAGTATCGGCCGTTGCGCTCACTTGGGGAGTGAATCATCGGACGGAAGATCTTCCTCTCTGTGTCTCCTCTCTGTATATCCGCCTTTCCAATGAAAGACTTTCCCGAGATGGATGTGTAGCCTAGGTGCCCCCGGGGCTATCCACATTCCACACCAGTGTGCCTGCATTCAGTGCTGGGCTCTGGCTCCAATTTACTGCTAGTGCAGACCCTGGGCAGCAGCATTGATGGCTCCAGTATCTGGGCTCCTGCTACCCCTGGGCTCTCAGCTTCAGGCCTGACCCAGCCCTGGCCATCGCAGTAATTTGGGGAATAAACCAACAAATGGCTGTGCAGGGGCTGGATCTCACATGTGCTTGTTCTGTTCCATCTCAAAAGCAGAAAGGGGAAAAAAAATCCTATCCAAAAATTAGAAGCATATTGTTTTCCAATATTCAGAGATTTATTATATTGAACATGTGTGGGATTTGCTTTTATATTTATGAGATAGCTTTAATTGTTTTTGCTGAAAGGATAACCACTTGCCCAAATGCTAAATATTGAATAATCTTGTCAGCTCTATACCTTAAAAATATTATCTAAAACATACGTTACATTATCACACACAATCAAGTTTCTGGACTTCCTTATTCTGCTCTAAAAATCCATATGTCTGTTTATATGCCAGCATTGCCATGTTTTAATGGCCAAAGCTCTATTTTATGCTTTGACAGTTGGTAAATCAGACTCTTCTCTATTGCATCCCCCCCAAAAGTTGGTTAATTTCTTTCCTTCCAGATGGCCTTTATAATCAATTTACTAAATTTCACAAGGAAATCCCTCCAGGATTGCTTCAAAGCTAGAGATAAGAGATTATTTGTTGCTTTTTGAAACATTTGCACATTTTCAAAATTGACATGTACTCAAAGTACAGGAAGTTCTGTGGGAAAGTCAAAGAATTTCAGAGTCCTTACCATATAGAAATTCACAACTTGATTGGGGACAAGAATACAGACTAAGCACAAACAACAAACTTACAGAACTAAGCATGTGGCTGGCTGGTGGTAAATAGCATGCACCTGGAGGCTTGCTGACTGGTGGGTATGTAGCACACACCTGGAGGTTTCTTTCTGCCTCTCATTTTGTCTTTCTCCCCCACACTGCCACCTCTGGCCTCACATGTTTTGCTTTTTAAACAATTAGCAATGTATTTGTAGTATTTGTAGGCATGATCAGTTCCTTTTGTGGTCATCCTCTGAAGCTCTATTTTTTACCCATTTTACAAAGAACCTGAAGCTCTAAGAAAACAGCTCCCAAGCTCACAAAGCATGTAGGTGACGGGTACCTGAAGTCGGGTTTCAGCCATCCGTGTTTCATCTTCTTCTGGGTCCCTTTTCAAAGTCCCGCTGCTTGGTCAAATGCAGAACTCATCTCTGAAGAACAAGGCATAAACAAATCAGTAATATCCTGCTTTGTTTTCTGCTTCACCGTTTCTACAGGCTCCCTGCAAAAATTAAAGGAGGTGTGGGGAATGAGGGAATATTCTAGAAACCACTGTCAGGCTTAGACCCGAGTGTCTCTCCTTCCTTTTCTTTATGCAATGACCAGAGCCCCATCACATTATTACTGGGTCCTATACAAAAACAATGGCACGGGCTCCTGCTTTAAATTATTACAAATTTCAAGAAGGGACAGCAACACATTACATGTACCGCAGAAATCCAAAATACAATTCCTGTGCCTGCAAAGCAGGTCTCGGCTAATTTACCTTTTCTCTAAATCCAGTTTCTGACTTTGCAGATTCACAGCCCTGTTCTGATGAAGAAGGCTGCTCCGAAGTCTTCCTCCCCACCGACAGCGACTATGACTCCAGCGACGCTCTGAGCCCCCGAGACTTGGACCTGGTCTACTTGTCCTCGCACGACATCACCCAGCAGGCGCTCTGTAGCCTGAGCGGCAGTGCCCCCGACGTTCTACAGGTGCACGACATCAAAACTCCAGCGAGGCTGGGTGAGGACGCCCAGAGCCAAGGCCGCGGCCCAGATCCGGACCACTCGTGCGCGGAGGTCTTCCATGGCCTGACCCTCACAGATTTTGTGCCCAAGATGGTGCCAAGCGCACGGCCGCCACTAGGCTTCCTAGCAAAGCGGAAGCCTGCCAAGCACCAGCACTACAGTGGCTTCAGCCGCCACCATCGCTGGCTGCGAGTGCAAAGCGAGACGCAGTCGCTCTCCGAGGGCGTTTACACACAGCACCTGTCGCGAGCTTGCGGCCTAGCCCATGAGACCAGGGAAGCCGAGCGTCCCAGACCTGCCCTCCATGAGTCCCGAGGCCTGGCTGTGGCTCACGCTGCCAGCCTCCCAGAGGAGCAGAAGTGCAGCATCCCGAGGTCTCCTGTGCGCGGCCTTTATATGGAGTCCTACCCAGCAGCCCTGGCTGACCAGGAAGCAGAGCCGTGGGCGGGCTTAAACCCGCCTTCTGCAGGCTGCGCCGGCCTGTCCAGCCCCACGCGGGAGGAGATGGGTGGGGAGAGTCCCACCACCTCCCCAGTGTCGGAAATCCTCAGCAGCATGTTGTAGGGATGCCCATGCTGGCTAATCTCTGCCCCAGGCTTAGTTCCTGCATTGTCCCCCATTCCTTCCCCCCGGTACCGCAGTTTGTCCCCATCATTTTCACGCGTTTTGAATGTTACAAATCCAAAAAGTTACAGGTTCTAATGGTCCTCTTTTCAAAAGACAGTAGAGAGTGGAGGCTGGAGCTGCCAGTGTCTTTCCCAGCTCGGCCTAGAATGGGCACAGAGGCGCTTTTGTGTCCACAAGGACTCCAAGACATCAGGTTTCACGCATGGCACCTGCAGCTGTGGTAGACCAGCCCAAAGAGACTATTTCAGATCTGCAGCTTGCTCTGTAATCCAACGCCTGAGTTCAGGGCTGCTTGATGAGTTTATGATTGATGAGAAGGTGTCCTAAAGATGAAAATAAGGTTAATGTCCTTCTTAAGCTCTGTTCCAAACATTTATAGAGTTTTAGGGAAGAGCCTAGATGGTGTCCTATCCTAGGGTGCAGGCGTATGTGGACTTGTTCTAGGTCCCTATCAGTTCTAATCAGGTGATTGCAAAGTACAGTGCTCTAAGGACACAGCAAATCCCACTTACCCATCAGCATTTGCCTGATGAAGTAGGCCTGGGACAGCCGTTTCCTTTGCTTAGTGTTGTATGGAGAACACCAGCTGAAAAAGCCGGGCAGCCTTTTGCTCTGCCTTGCAAGGAAGGGCCAGAGCCGGAAGCAGCCCTTCCAGCACACCCAGTACCCTTGCAAACATGAAAATGAGCAAAATAAGTTCAAAGGGACTATGTCTCTGAAAATCATAGTGATCTGTTTGATCCTGAAGCGCTGAAATCATCTGTAAACAAGAAAATACCCTGCAGATATGGAAAGACTCCTCACAGCTCCACAGGCACAGCCACTAATCCCAAATCACAGATTAAGGGACAGATTGTCTAGGGCTGGGATGGCTGCTTGCCCCTTTCAACCAGTCCCTCTCCAAGTCAGTTTTCACTTGAGATACTTGAGCTCGATAGACCCTGGGGGAAAACCTTTCCTTAGAGATCTCAGTCAGCAATTCCTTCCCAAGATGTGATCAAAAACACCTGGGCTCTCTGCTCTGCGCCTCATTGCCTTCTACCTGAAGTTCCAATCAAAGAGAAATCACACTACGTGTTTCAGAAAAATCCTGGGGCTTGCCATCCCCTGGCAGCAAGACCCATGCAGTTCACTGACATTCTAAATGGTCCTTCTCCACTTCCCAGGCCTTTGGCCGTGGATCTTTATGATCCTAAGCTGTCCTCATGGGCCTACCATTTTCCCATAGGAGAACATACAAATTCCCCTGTTCACAGTGTTATTCTGATCCCTTTCACTTTTAAAACATTTGATTTAAACATAAATAATTACCCTAGTGGAAAGGTACAGATTTGGCCCATGGCCTGTGGTCATTAGAAAATGAAAGCCCTGAGCTCAGTCTTTGTTTTTTTTTTTTTTAAGAGGTTTCACACTAAGTGAACCCCTTAACAATCTGGATCAGAATCACTACATCTCCTTTCCATGCCTGAGAGGATTTAAAAATGCAGTTTTCTGCTATCTATGTGAGTTGGAAGGAGTGTCAGAACTACAAAGGATCATAAAATACACCCAAGTTGTTGAGTTTACATTTAGGGCAATGAAAGTCCAGAAAAGCTAAGTGACCAGCTTGAGATCACAGAGCTGACTTATTCTTGGAGTTGAGGTCAGAAGCCAGAAGCTGAGGTCTACTCCCTGTGCAGAGTAGTCCGTCCCATTGGGTACTGGTACAAACCTAGTCATATCTTGCTTTTTGTTACAAGTTCCTTATCTGTTTTGTAAATCTATCTACTTCTAGTTATAAATTCACATCCTTTGATCAATCTTTACCCAATAAGTTTCCCTTGTTGCCACGGAATACAAATTTGTGTAGTAGACACCTAAACTGAATTAATTAAAAAGGAAATTTGGGAGAAATGTCATTTCAAATTATGTCTTCTAGTTTATACCAGGAATCCCAGAGTCTTCTGCTTTCACTTTCTACTTCCTCCTAGCGATAAGGCAGAGGAATAGGTTGAATGAGTTTGTGAGATGAGACATAAGAAGCCAATGAATCTCCAATCCTGACTGTCGTGATAACTCAGAATGGAGACTGTGCCCTTGACATTAGAGAGAAAACATCCAACCAGCAGCGACGGGAGAGACTGACCTCTCCTTCTGACTTCTCAATCTGTCGGCATGTTCTGGCATACTAAACCAAAATTGCATTAATTTCAAACACACTCATTTGTATTTTGAGCACAGGGTTATTTTTTCATCTTCAGTGGAGAAAAGATGCACACCAGTGAAATGAATACTACTCAGAGGATTCCAATGGGTGCACTAAACCCTCTGTAATATTCTTTTATAAAAATGGGTATGATGCATCTTTCGTGATTAACCTTTTGATCAGATAAGTTCCTCTCATTCCTTCTCTTTGCAGACCTTTGTGAACCCAGTGTAAATGATCAGATTCTTGTGAGAGGCCACTGTACTCTCGAATTGATAGTCTTTTCTTGATCTGATTAATCATAGACACTTTACAATGTCTTAGGATTTTTTTTTAATTTGTTTTATATTTGGTTATTTAGTTTTTGTGCGTGTGTTTGATATGGTGGACTTGATCTTGAATTCTTTTTAAGTCCAATCTGAGAGTCTCTGGAGGGAACTTTTAAAAATTAATTAATTAATTTTATTATGATACAGTTCCATAGGCTCCAGGACTTCCCTTCCCCCTTTCTTAAATCCCTGCTCCTCCCCCCATTTCTACCATGTCATTACAATCGTATAGTCTTTCACAAACAGTCATAAGTCCATCATTCTGCTATTTAAGCGGATCCTGACATTGTAGGCACACACAACGGCAGATAGTCTAACATCCTATTGTCAAGATACATTCAACAGTTTCATCTTTAATCTATAAGTAGAGATGCACACTGCATTGTATCTTCACATCTGTGTGTGATGGTCTCTATTACAATTACTATATATCCCCTTAAATGAAAAGCCATAAAACAAAATCAACAGAGAAAAATAGAAAATCTACAACATGAAATTAAATGGCATATTACTGAATGACCAATATGTCACTGAAGAAATGAAAAAGAAAATGAAAGACCTTCCTGAAACAAACAATGCTATTGTGTGACCCATGAGTCAGTGAGGAAATTAATAATAAAAACAACTTTTGAATGAATAAAAATAAAAATATGAAAACCCCTGAGATATAGCAAAAACAGAATTGAAAGGGCTATTGAGCTTGTATTTTGCAGGAAGGCTGCCTTATTTCAGAAAGGGCATATGATGTTTGTCTTTTAGGGATTGACTGATTTCACTGAGCATAATGGTGTATAGTTGGGACCATCAGGTTGCAGATAATAGAATTCCATTCTTTTTAATAGCTGAGTAATAGTCCATGGAGAATATGCACCAGTTTCTTTATCCACTCCTCTTTAGACAGGCATGTGGGTTATTTCCATGACTTAGCTATTGTAAATTGTGCTGCTGTAATATAGTATTACATGTTCATTTCTCATATGCAGATTTTATCTCCTTTGGATATATTCCCAGATGTGGGATAACTGAGTCAAACAGCGGCTTAATTTTCAGTTCTCTCAGCACTCTCCATACTGACTTCAATAGTGGTTGTACTAGCCTACATTCGCACCAACAGTGAAGGAGGGTACCTTTCTCCCCACATCCACACCAGCAGGTGTTGTTAGTAGAGTTCTGAATGTAGACCAATCTCGCTGGAGTTAGGTGGAACCTCAAAGTGGTTTTCATCTGTATTTCCCTGATAGCTAGGGAGTCTAAGCCTTTTTTCATATGTCTACTAGCCATTTGAATTTATTCTTTTGAAAAATGTCTGTTCATTTCCTTTGCCCATTTCTTCACATGGTTGTTTGCTTTGCTGTCACTAAGTTTCTGAAACTCTTTGTAAATCTTAGATATTAGTCCCATATCAGTTGTACAGTATGCAAATACTTTCTTCTATTCCGTTGGTTGCTTCTTCAATTTGTTGATTGTCTCTTTTGCTCTACAGAAGATTTTTAGCTTGATGTAGTCCCATCTGTTTATTTTTTGTTTTGACTTCCTGTGTTTTTGGTGACTTTTCTAAGAATTCTTACCCCATTCCTATATCTTGGAGAATGCTTTCTATGTTTTTGGAGGAAGCTTTCTTAGCCCAATGCTTTGTAACATGTTTCATTCACACCTGTTATTTTCTAGCTCTTGTTATATCAAAACCGATGGACAGGGGCCCTCCATTTGTCTGTCTCTATTTTAAGTTCCCAAGGAACCAAATAATCAATGTGAAACCATTCCTAGGCCACAAGGGGCTCACACTCTGATCTAAGAATGTAGCCATACACTCACCATGTGTCTTCTCATCAGTAACTTACAAAAGGCTCAGTCTGCTCAGTGGAGAAGACACAGCATATGTTGGACAAGGCATGTTTGAACAGGACAGCCTGGAAAATGCAGGTCATGGATGTTCATATGTGCTGGCCAGCTATGTCCAAGGCTGTTACATCCTGCTAGTTGGTGATGATACAAAGGAGACAATAATTAAAAGCATCAACTTCAGGGAATGGGTGTTTTAAGATTTGGATACTTAAAGATGAGGTCCATGCCATTTTAAGAACATTCACTAATGCTTGAAGCAATAATTACAGTGGAGAAAATGGTTCCATTTGGTTTGAAAATTGAAGCCAGTTAGTAATAATATTCCACCAGTCCCCTTTCCTGAAGGATCCCAAAGCACCTTATGAAAAGCAATGACTGAAGCCTTGTTGTACTCCCCTAAAGAGACCTTGTCCAAGAGCCACCTGGCAAACACCTACCCTATCCTTGCCAAGAGATCGTGCCAGACAAGTGGAAAAGAGGACTGGCCCCTCATTTATTGTTATCCTGCCACACAAATGTGCACCCTGGTGAGTCCTGAGGTTCTGGCTTGAGGATAACTCTGTTAGACAAAGAGACAC